GGCCGTGGGGTTCGTCGTGGGGTCGTCGCGGGGGCTCGTCGTGGGTCGTCGCGGCGCTGGGGGGCGCCGTTGGTCGTCGGGGGTGTCGCGGGTCAGGGGTCGTCGGCGCAAGCCTGGGCGTCGGGGCCGCCATCTCCTGGACGCTCCCGTCGGGCGCAAGCCTGGGGCGCGCTGCAGTCAGAGAGCGGGCCTCCCCAGACCAGAGCACTCCTGGGCCTCGCCCTGCACAGCTTCGGCATGGCCAGCCCCCTCGTCCACCGCGAGGGAAGAACGGGACCACTGAAATGAAGTGCAACCAAATCCAATCCCCCTGAATAATCTGATTCCTCACAGTGCTCGAAGGAAGGCGGAGGCGCCCATGATGGCCCAAATCCTGCACCTGTATGGATGATGTTTCTGCACACCTCTCGCATGCCCAATTTGAAATTGGCCCGCTGCCCCACGATGTGTCGATCTGTCGACTGGCTGAAATCCTGCGCCAGCCGGCGATGCCAACCAACTTTGAATCGGGGGCAGGGGGGCGCGGCGAAGTTCGCGCTGCACTCCACTGACGCGGGTGGTGCAGGATGTTGCCAATCAGCCGTGGCGCGCAAGCCAAGACGTGCCCCATCTTTCCGAACCCTGGAAAAGAAACAACGGCACGAGCATAAACTTTCGGAGCTCCGCGCGGACGTCTTGGATGGTGCGCGCCAGCGGCGGCGCCAGAGGCGCCGCAGAGAAATCTGCATGCAGCTCCGAATGTTTGTTTATGCCGTCGTTTCTTCTTCTTGCCATCGCTCGGACGTCCATTCCTCCATGCATTGTTTGGTTTCGTGTGTCTGTTTTTTCCACCAGGTGACCGGCGATGCTCCGAGATGGTTCGGCCTTTCCGGTGCTGGCCTCGCCGAGAAAAATGCACACGCCCGAGGGATGCCCTTTCTTCCCAACCCACGCGACGATGCTCGAGCGCGCCCCCCGCTGCCTGGGAGCGCGGCCCACCGGGAGAGCGCCGGTGGGCGAGCGGCCGCCAGGCCAGGCAGCTTCGGGGCCTCACTGCGCTGCCCGTCACCGCCCGAGGCGTCCCTGGAGAACGGCCCGAGTCCCAAGACATTGCGGCGGCCCCGAAGCCCCCACTGCACTGACTCACAGCGCGGTGTGGTAACCACACCGTGTGGGGGCCCCCGATGCACAGCGAGCAGCGCCGAGCTGCACCCCACCTCTTTGGGGGACCCTGAGCTGCGCCCGCCGCGCGGGACCTTCGCCCGCCGCGCTGGGCGCTGGGCTCCTGCCAACGCTCGCGAGGAGGGCGCCGCGCCAGCGTGCGGGCGCCGGGCCGCAGCCCACGAAGGCCAGCCCGACTTCTGCTGGCGCGCCCAACGCCGAGGTCCTCGGGAGCGAGAGTGGCCACGGATGATGATGGTGATGGTAGTGATGGTGACGATGGTTTTGGTGATGCTGGTGGTGATCATGGTGGTGGTGGTGATTGTGATGATGGCGTTAATGATGGTGACGATGATGATGATGATGATGATGATGATGATGATGATGATGATGATGATGATGATGATGAAGATGAAGATGCTGCTGATGATGATGATGATGCTGATGCTGATGCTGATGCTGCTGCTGCTGCTGCTGATGATGATGATGATGATGATGATGATGATGATGATGATGATGATGATGATGATGATGGTGATGGTAACCACCGCAATCAGTGACTACCTACCAGACCACGCCAACCCAACCCGAAGACCCAAATTTCGGGTTGAGGGGGGTACGAGTTCCACACGTGTTTTGTTCACTCTTCCACGACACCCCCCACTGGGAATGGAAGGCACATTGGGTCCTGCGAGTTGGGTCGGGGTAGTCTGGTGGGTGGTGAATCAGCTTTTCTGATGCGTCGCTACCCCGTCGCAGGCGGGACAGGCCGCGGCAACCCTCGGGCAGGGCGCCACCCAGCACCCTCCGCTGAGCCACGGCGGCTGGCCCCGACCGCGGCTGGAGCGCCGCCAAGGTGGCCCGAAGGTCTGCTGGGAGAAGGGCCTCCACTGCGCCCGCGCCCTCCCAGTGCAGCCGGAAGCGGTGCAGGAAGCTGCGGGGGCACAGACGCAGATCGGCTGCCAGGAGCCTCGGTGCGTAGCGCCCGTCGCAGACCTCAAGGGCAATTCGGCAAGAGGGGGAGGGTTTCTGAGGAGAGCGACGGCCGAACAGCACACATCCATACCCATGGGGTGGACGGAGGGAGCTATGCGTCCGCATTGTCGGATGGGGGTCCCCGCTGGAGCGGGAGCGCCCCTCGGGCGCGACAACCCGCGCTCATACCCATAGCCAGTCCTGGGTCTGCGTGTGTGCTGTTCGTTCGTCAGGAAGCGGGTCCAGGACCCTGGGGCTTTCCCGAGAACCACTTCTTCATCCGGAGTCGTGTTTGACAGCCTAGGGCCCAAGATGGGCCCCGCGAGGCCGAACACAGGAAAACGTCAGCCACAAATCCGCATTACTCTGCTTCGAGCGATCCCAACCGAAGTCTCTGGCGTTTGTTCCCGAGTCTGGTACTGCTCGTTACGGTGGCCAACCCAAGACGGCGCGCATGTCGCATTTCATAAGACGCATTGCTCTGTCACTGCTGCATTCTATTGTATCACATGTGCTCTGTTAAGTACATCTATGCTTTCTGTGGCCAACCTCACTTCGGTTCGCATGTGGCGTTTGATCGTGCGTAGTGATTCGGTCGCTGCTGTATTCAACAGTCGTCAACGATGTTATTTTCGGTTATGTTATATCATATTATGCGGTATTGCGTCCTGGCCTGTTCTTGACGGGCCGGCGTTACGTCGATACGCCTGTCACGTTTGATACGTCGTCCAATTGGTCGTTGCTGCGCCTCATTGCTCATGTGGCCAGCCTGACCTCGGCACGCACGTCGCGTTTGATAGGACGCCGTTAATCGGTCGCTCAAGTTCTCTTTCTGTTATCTTCAGGAATGCTCGATCCTGGACTATTGAAATACGTCGAAGTACGTTGTGCTCTGCGAGTTGTTCTTCGATTCTGATATATTGCACTCTATCCTGCTATGCTGTGCAACGGTCAAGCACACTGCACTGCACTATAATACCCTGTTAGGTTAGATAATATCGTAGTTATTGTTTTTGTCTGCTGCGTTCGTTTGTGATCGGATATACTATCTCCTACTCATGGGCATAATCGTCAAGGGTCTCCTGATATTGTCTTCATACAGTCTCTCACGGACTGATGTAATGCCCTGGCGCTGCACTCTGGTTCTAACATTGCGCTCCAGCTAGAATCGTTCTACACTGGGAATCACAATTCCATTGTGTAGCTGCTGTTATAATGGTTAAATTCGTGATTCTCAGTTGCTCTGCTACGCTGTTGTCAGATACATCCTGTCTCATTGTTCTACGACACATTGTATAAAACCACTGATGTAAACCAAGAACAATTCTTTTCTGCAATATGTCCAACGATCCTTAGTCTTTTCACGATATCCGGTGATGCGCTGCTACGCTCGGATAATCTTCTGTGGTTCGGATATTTCTGGCTGTGCTAAAGCATAATCGCTTCAGTACTGGAAGCAGCTGTAAAGAACAATTCTGCCCTGTTCTGTTGTCTTAGAATAAACTCAGCTGTGTCCTGATATGTCAACTCATGGCTGTTGTGTGGCGGCATGACAGGCTATGTCACGCTGCTATGTAGCATGAAGCGGTTTGGCATGGTATAGTTGTCATGTTCAGTGTGTTGGATGTGTTTATGTTATATGATGTGAGATGTCGTATGGGTAGCAGTGTTAGATACGTAGGTGTCTGCATGGTGCGATATGTGATGGTATGGTATGTCATAGCCTGGTATAGTATGCGATGTTGTTGTTATGGCCAGGTCTGGTCTGTCCTGTGATGTGGTGTCATGTTATGATGCGCTATACTGTGCTGTGTTATGCTATGGTCTGGTCAAGCAGCAAAGTTATGGTATGCCATGGTAGTTGGCATGGGACGCTGGTGGTTGCTGTGGTAAGTGTAGTAGGTCACCTGCAACGTGGTATGCTATGTCACGCTATAATATGCGGAGGCCCGTAAGTCCTAATGGATTATTGTGTGAACTATGTAGTATGGTATGGCTAGGGGTGGTGTTTGGTGCTCTGCTATGCGTGTCGACATTGTGGTATGATAATGCGACAAAGTAATGCTATGATGTGATAGTTATATCATGGTAGGTCGTGGTGTACTATGATATGCTCTGCTAGGTTATTATATGTTTGCTTTCATGGATGTGCCCATTGTTGCCGTGCTCTTGATGTCGATTGCTCATGCTCCTTTGCTCATACGCCGGGACGCCTGAACGGCGTGACGCCTCTGCCTCAGCGCTCTCTGGTATGCAGGGTGTCGGCATTAGCCGAAGACGCGGGACGGGACACTCAGGGACCCTTGGGATCCTGTGGAGCCTGGCGGCCGCGATGTGGTGTCGTCATTCGTCGAGGACGCGAGGCGGTCAACTCGGGATCCTGTGGGGTCTGGCGGCCGCGGTATGCAGGGTGGGCAGGCCGGAGCTCTTCCTAAAATCTGGCAACCCCGACCTGCCGGGTGGGGAACAACGGCCATCTCTTGAAAACGCGTCTTTTAACTTCTGCCGGCGTGCCCGCCTTCGCTGTACTTCAGCCGCCTTCCGACGAAGAACAGCTGATGGACAAGATCCTACACCACCCACGCAGCCAGGGTACTGGCGCACACTTCCACACGCACCCCTGCCCCCGATTGAAAGGCCCACCAACGCAGGAGGCTGCAACGATGCGCCCCCAGGCGGCCACCGTGCAAAACCTGACAGCGCCTCTTTTTTCGACAGCCAAGCGAAGAGTCCCATTGGGCAAGCACTGTTTTGGGAAAGCCACAGATGGGGAACAGCTCCGTGCGTTGATGTTGCGAATCCCCCGCTGGATACCAGCGGGTGGCCCGCGTCAGCGAGGTGTGCACGGATCTGGTGGCGGCGCCCAGTCTCAATCGAGCACACGCACAGCGAGTAATCGACCAGCTCGCGGCCGCCCAAGGGCGGGCCGAAGTGGCCCAGCACGCGCACCATGGTCAGCGCGGGCAGCCCGTCCTTAGCCACCACGCTGGGCCCAGCGCCATCCACCTGGAGGAGGAGGAGGAGGAGGAGGAGGAGGAGGAAGAGGATAGGAGATGGAGGAGAAGTTGAAGGAAGAGATGAAGGAGACGGAGGCTGGAGGCCGCACAAGTTGTTAAGGTCCGAAGACATGGAGTTGAAGGATGCCGCTGCACCGCCGATGCGTCATCGAGCCGCATAACTGCTGCATCGGCGACCTGGCGCGATCCTCCTGCCCCGCAGACCGCACTTGGCGGCCTGGAGAAAAGCAGGACACCCGCACACGGCCATCCAGGACGAGCTCTGAGCGGACGATGGCGCCGTGACAGAGCACGAGGTAGTCGCGGGACATCCCGCGCGTCGCGGCGACCCACCTCAGCTCGCAGAGCGGCCACTCTCCTCCTCCTCATCCTCCTCCTCACCATCATCATCATTTTCCTCCTCCTCCTCTCCCTCTTCCTCCTCCTCCTCCTGCTCATTTTTCTTCCTCCTCCCCCCGCTCCGCGCGGCGCAGCGAGCGACCTCAACTTGAAGAGTGCCTCGAAGGACAGCGCGGCCACAATGAGTCCAGACGAGGGCGTGTCCAGGCGGTGCAGGAAGCCAAAGTCCAAATCCACCCGCCTGCTCAATGGCGTGTCGAAGGTGCTGCGCAAGAAGGCGGACAACGGCCGCCGGCCACCTTTCGGAACCATTCGACGCGAAGATCCCAACATGTGCATTGCAGTTCTCAGCACTTCTGTCTGTGAGTGTGCGCGTGCGCGATCCTGGCGGCCCCCCCCTTGGAGTGTTCATCTGCTGTGCCTGCTACATCAGGATGCTCTGGAGGCTCTGAAAGGAGCGGGCCAGGGATGCCTGCACCAGCGTTTCGTCTGAGACGTCCCACGGTCAGTGCGCGAACTGGCACAGTGCAACGTCCCCTGGCGGCTGCCCTGGAATGCACAAGTGCTATGCCTGCTACATCGCGGTGATCATCGGGCTCTGAACGGGGAGGAGTCGGAGGCACAAAATCCAGCAAACTGCTCGAGGCATCCCCACAATGTATGTGCGAACGGGCAAATGCAACACCAATTGGCGATCCGCACGGAACGGCAAATTTCTTACGCCGTGGCGACTCCACCCTTGGAGCCCTCAGATGCCAAGCCTGCTAGACCGCGATGAGTATGGGGTTCAGAAAACAAGCCCGCAATTGCCAGAGACATTCCGGCAATCTGGGCGCGACAGGCAACTGGCCTGCCCCCAGGCGGTTCCTCCTTGAAATGCGCAAATGCCACACCTGCTACATAGCGATGGGCATCGGGATTTTGAAAACAAAGGCGTCTGAACCACAGACATGCACACCGCAAGATACACCCTCACTATCTGGGCGCGAGAGAGCAAATGTCCTACCCCCTGGCGGTTGCTCAAACGCATCACCTGCTACGTCGCGGTGAGTACATGGGCTCTGAGACAATGAAATCCAAGCTACCACACAATCAAGCCGCTTGAGACATCCCCACAATCTAGGTGCGAACGGGCAAATGTCAAACCCTCTGGCGGTTCCTCCTTGGGGTGCTGAAGTGCTGCCCCTGCTACATCGCATTGCGCATGTGGCTCTGAAAAGTGGGAGGCCCGAGCCGCCAATAGGCAAAATGCGTGAGACAGTCCCACCATACGGCCGCGACATGGCGAGCCTGGTGTCTCCTCCTTGGGTTGCTCAAGTGCCACGTCTGCAGCATAACGATGAGCATGGGGCTCTGAAAACAAAAGAGCCTGAGCCACCAACCAGGCACATCGCACAAGACATCGCACCAGCAGTGTGCGCGAAGGGGCGAGTGTCCGAACACCTGGCGGATCCTTGCTGGGGTGCTGAAATGCGCTGCCTGCCACATAACGATGAACATGTGGCCCTGGACACACAGGAACATGGGCCACCAAACAGGCACACCGCATGAGGCATCTCCACACACTGGCCGCAAAGGACAAGTGTCCTACCCCCTGGCGGCTCCTCCTCAAGGTGCTCAAATGCCACGCCTGGTACATCGATGTCAGCATGAGGCATGATGCTCTGAAAACAAATCCCACCAGCCCTCTGGGCGTGGGTGGCTTGAAGCGTTGTCTCTTCTATCTTCCCTTTTTCTCCTTCGGGGAGGGGTTATCACTGTTCCCTAAAATAAACACCCCCTCTCCCACCTGGCCGGCAGCCAACCCGGAACCATGCGCACACCATGAGGGTACCCCCACACACCATCTGTATCAAAAAAACAACACACACACACACTCTGCCTCCACATCGGAGCCTCTGGGCGCTCTTGGACCCGATCGCGTGGATTTTCCAGAGGCTGGCCCCAAGACGAGCCAAGATGGCCCCAAGAAGCTCCCAAGAGGGCCCAAGAGGCCTCCAAGACGGCCCAAGAGCGCTCCAAGACGCCCAAGATGGCCCCAAGACGGCCCAGCCGGCCTCCAAGAGGCTCCAAGAGCGCTCCAAGAGGCCTGCCAAGCCACGAAATAGGCAAACCGCATGAGACATCCCCACAATCTGGCCGCGAATCGGCGAGTGCCCTACCCCCTCGCGGCTCCTCCTTGAGGTGATCAAATTCCACGCATCATGCATCGTGGTAGGCATTGGGCTCTGAAAACAAATGAGTCTGAGCCATGCAATAGGCACAGCGCCTGAAACATCCCCACATTCTGGGCGACGACGGGCGAGGGTACTACCCCCTGGCGGCTCTCCCTTCGGGTAACCAATGCCACGTCTGCCACGTCGCAGGGAGCATGCAGCTCTGAAGCGAGAAGCCTGTGTCACCAAACAGGCCAACCGGCGAAGGAGCGAGTGACCAGCCCCATGGTGGCTCCTCATTGGGTTGCCTAAGTGCCACGCCTGCTACATCGCGATGAGCATGGGGCTCTGAAAAGACAGACTGAGTGGCAGTGAGTCAGAGTGTGAATCAGTCTGAGTGCGACTACATATGAGTGTGCCCAGTCTGTATGTGAGTTGGTCCGTGTGTGTGAGTCTGAGTGTGAATAAATCCGAGTGTGAGTAAATCTGAGTGTGAGTGAATCTGAGTGGGAGTGAATCTGACTGTGGATGAGTCTGAGCGCGAGTGGTCTGAGCATGAGTGTGGCTTGGAGTAGAGTATGAGTGTGCCTGATCATGAGTGGAAAAGCACGTCCACGTGCGAGGATGGAGGGCGGCAGGGAGTGAGCGAGGGGGAGGCGCCGTGAGTCACAGTGAGAGCGGCTCTAAGTATAAGTGGATCTCAGTGCGAGTGAGTCTGAGTATGATTGTGTCTGAGCGTCAGTGAGTCTTAGGACATCTGTGTGCCTTATTACGTTTCTCCCACCGCCGAGCCTTGCAACATCTTTGCCCTGTCTGTTTCGCGCGTGTCAACCTCCCAATCCGGTGGCTTCAGCAGCACGCACCATCCTGACCCCTGCCGGACCACCCTCGGCTCGGACTGTTCATGACCGCTTTCGGTACAGTCTTCTGGCGAAAGCACCTGGTCATGCCAGCGCTGAAGATCGGGTTCGGGCGCTGCGGCGTCCATGCAGCGTCCGATGGCCAGTAGCGCCTGACGTGCAGTGCTTAGAACGCCACAGTCGAAGCCGCAAACAGAAAACGACCATGCCAACTGCGTAAGAGGCACCGCCAGCTCAGGCGATGCACCTGGCGACACCTTCATGCGCGCGAGCTCGTCTGGCAATTCCACGGCCACCTGCCGCACGGCTGCGCGTGCCACGGCGCGGAAGAGCGCCTCGTCGGGCAGCATCAGCGCTGCGCGGGACCACGCGACGTTGGCCAGCCCAGACACGCGCAGTTCCGACGCCCGCGCAGAGACTGCCGACGCGCAGGCCGCCAGGAGGTCGACGTCGCTGCGCGGCAGGATGGCCATGGACCAGGCCAGGCTCGGCAAGTGCCTCGGGGCCCAGACCTCCTCTCGGCGCCGCACCCTGAGCGTGCCCACGGCAGCGTTCACGAAGCCCGGGAGGTCGCGAGCAGTAGTGGCTGCGATCGCCCACAGCACGTTGGCGATGCTCGGCACGGTCCACTCGGCCAAGCCCGTCTGCAACGCCCGTGCGCTCACCGACCGCAACAGCGGGCCTGCGAGCCCGCCAAGCGCCGCGGACGCTCGGACCTGCGCAGCAGCCCACGCGAGGTTGGCGAGGTCGCGGGCAGGAAGAGGGGAAGCAGACACCTGCCGCACAGCTGCGGCCTGCAGCACGGGGCTGGGGGACAGCCGAAATGTCCCCAGCGCCCAAACAAGGCTCACAATCTCCTGTGCCTGAAAGTCATGAGGGTCGCGCGACAGGAGCTCCTCTGATGCAGTTGCGATGACTGCGTCCCCTGCTGCCTTGGCTGCAAGAGCCCAACAAATATTGCAGAGCTGATGGGTCTTGAAGCTCACCCAAAGAAGGTCACGTCGAAAAGCGCAACGCTGTACGTCTGCCAGCGTCTGGGCGAACCCCTCAAGACACGGCGTAGCTGTGGGCCCCCAAGCACCGAGCGCCCACATCACATTGCTGACAGACTGCGCGCCAAAACCCTCCAAGTCTCGCCGCAACGCCTCCCTGGCAAGCCCTGTAAAAACTTCCTCGGCGAGGCCCGAGTTGGGCACCTGCAGCCTGGACAACGACCATGCCATGGCACACAGTTCCTCCTGACCGAACTCTGCAATGCGTCCATGTGCTGCCGCTGCGAGTGGAAGGATACTTGTGAACTGGTCTGCGCGAACGACTGCAAAGGCCCAGAGCACGTTGGCGACGCTCTGCACGGCAAACTCCGCCGCCCGTCCTGCGGTAGCGGCGACTGTGATCCTGTCAGATGCCAGCGGGTGCGACAGCCGTGCCAAAGCCCAGACCATCTGTGCCCACTCCTCGGGCGTTGCTTGAGCGGGGGGCGACCGATCGGGGGGGGCGAAGAAACGTGGACCTTTCGTGCCCCTCTTGGGTCCCAGAGGACCCCTTCAGGGCCCCTGAGGTCCACGAAAGGAGTACCTTTCTTCACCGCCCCCCATGTATGAGCATCGTTTAACCGATCCCCATCCCCAGAGGCGTGGCCTGGGCCCCACTGGCCGAATTACCCCCCTAGGTAGAAGGATATAGGCCGTTCCCTTCGGGTTTCGAGGGGTGTATCCCCAACTGGAGGGGTAATTTGGTGGGGGGCTCGAAGGGGATGGGGATGGAGGTCGGATAACCGCTACTGAATGTATCGCCCCCCAAATTACGGAACGCCCGAACTCCTTGTGATCGAGCCCCTCCGGGTTGCCGATGGCGCTGACGAGCCGCTCCGCGGTCCTCGACGCCTGCCTCCGAGCGTGCGGCCCTGGCGGCGCACCTGCGAGCGCCGCCAGCCTGTGGAGCGCAAATACCGCGACCTTCGGCGCCTGGGCGAGGTCCTCGTGGCTGGCGTGCACGATCCGGGCGACCGCGCCCTGCCCGCCTGCCCCGTAGAGCTGGCGGCGGAGGCTCCGCGAGCTGACGGCCCGAGGCAGCTGACTCGGCCGTGGGCTGGCGCGGCTGTTGTTCGAGCAGCTTGCCGTCCCCACTCGGGCGCGGCTGGCCTCCGTCGACGGGCTCGTCTCGACCCGAGGTTGCAAAGCTGCCCCGCCGGCAGCGTCTGCCGCTGAACCCCGAACCGCTCGCGGGTGGGCACGACAGGCTCCCGACGATGCTCGCGATGCTCGCGGCCAGGGAGGCCATGCACCGACAACCTCGACTGTCGTAAATCTGCCATGGCGTGTGGTTGAAGGGAAGCTCTGCACCCGCATTGCCGAATCATAGTCCCGTGCTGAGGCATGCCTTCGTTCGTCAGGGGACGGCGGCGAACCAAATGGCTGCGGGCGACCTTGCGTAACGGCCAGTGGGGCTCCTGCTCGCGCCTCCCACCCTCTCCACCTCCACCTCCTCGTGTTCTTCTTCCTCCTCCTCTTCCTCCTCATCCGACTCTTCCCCCTCGCGCCAGATCCAGGGATCTCAGGTGTCCAAAGAGTGCCAACGCGCACAACAGGAGGGACGCCTCCAAGACAGGTGCCACCTTCGCCTCAGAGCAGAGGCCGTTGATGGCAAACAAAAAAAACGAAACGCCATCGTCATCCTCGTCGTCGTCCTTCCTCGCAACCTCTCCCGATGGCAAGATGACTAGATTGGAGGAGTGTCTGCTGGGAGTGGTATAAGCGAGGCAAGCTTGAGGGAAGGGTCTGGGCAAGCGTGAAGCAACCACGCAGGAATATTCGTCAAGTAGCGCCTGGACGCACCCCGAAAGTAGAACCCCATGCTTGCTACTCTGAAACATGTGCCATTTGGGCCAACTGAGTTCGCATCAGTACATTGATCTCAGGCCAGGCTGCAGGCTGACCCAACGCAGACTGGACCAGTACCATCGAGCGCTTTACATTGCTATATCGTATATCACATTGCGGCACATCCAATTGTGCATGTGCAATGTGTCTGTCCCATTCCTTCTTATCATCCTCCTTCTCTTCCTCTTCCTCCCCCTTCTCCTTCTCCTCCTCCTAACAATCCTGGTTCGCTCCGCCAGAGGAGGCCACCAGCAGGAACAAATACGCAAATTGGAGTGAGGAACGACATCTTCTGTCCGTCGTCCTCCATTCTGGCAGCCCCCTTGGGCTTCGGAGCACCTCGAATAGTGCAACTTATCTATGTGGATTTAACCCTAGCCATCCCAAGTTCCCCTGCACCGTCTCCCCTTCATGGAAACTCTCCCTTTGTTTTCCTGGCTGCCTTTTTTATGAACTGTCCGGGCTGCGGCCAGCGGGATAAATGGGACATGAATGGAGAAGACTCAGGACGGAAGGGTGTATTGCAGCATCGTTGATGCATCTTCGGTGTGCTCTGGTCCTCCTCCTCCTCCTCCTCCTCTTCCCACCTCTTATTCCTCCTCCTCCTCCTCCTCCTCCTCCTTCGCCCGAGGTCAAAAGGAGCGAAGAGCTGCGCGTCCCAAACGAGGACCTGACAGCACAGGGATATTTGAGGAAGCCGCAAGTGAAACTGACGATGAAGATGATGGCGATGATGGTGGTGATACTGAGGAGGATGAGAGTTTTGCCCTGCCACGGTGGAGCGTGAGTCAGGGGTGCGCGGCGGCACCAACTGTCCCGAGTCAGCTGAGCAACTCGCGCATTGTCAATTCCGCCTGCCACCCTGCGGGGCCGGCAAGAACATGTTATGCTTACGTGGTCATGCATCCCGCACCCCAGATACATCTGGTTTCTGCACCAAGACCCCCAACAAACAAAACAAGACGAACCATTGTCCACATGAACGACGCACGTGTCCACGGGGAGTGGGCGCGGCCCTGGTGATTTGTCACTTATTTGAAAAAGTCGCCAACATCAGCAGCCTTGGTTAGATCTAGGGAGGACGGGGGGGCGGTAGCGGCCCGCGCTTATCGGCGCAATCAAAAGATTAGCAGCGACCAGCTGTGCACTGGAACATCATAGACTGGCGGGCATCTGCAAACGCGACGCAGCGGAAGCCTTTGTTTCGCTGGCCACTCGCCTTCGCCGGCGTGGACATGTGATCAGACCATCCCTCGAGCGCACTTGTTGATTCGCGGCCATACTGGGCGTTATGAGGGGGCAGGGGGGGGGACAGGGGGCGGGGGCATGACGTAACGACGCCCCCCCAGACTGTGGTGCCAGACGCACTGCGGCAGTGCCTCGGACGCACTGAGGGGGAGAGCGTCATGTCGTGGGACTTGTGGGGTAGGGGGGAGAGGGTAGGGGGGCATAACGCGCGTTATGGCCCAGAAGGTAACAAAAACACTCTCCTCGAATCCCGACCCGCAGATCACGATAACGTCATGACCATGCACCAGGCTTCCCTCTCTTGGGGCAATGCTGGACAGAAGGGCAGCACCGATGGCGGCTGAGAGGATGCAGCAGGGGATTCGCCGGTGGCAGGCTGGAGCGGCTCGACGTCCAGCTCACGTCCTGCACCTGTGCAATCGCGGGATGGCATCGCGTCTTTGAAGAAGTCATCGCGGGCGGGCTCGCTCGACCTTCTGCACCGCTGTGCCGACTCTTGCGCCTGCGCTTGACCTCGGTGGAGAGCTGAAGCGCAGTGTGCACAGCATGCTTCGTGACGGCGCTTTTTTGCTGCACTGTCGTGGGGGCGCGGACATCCCAGCTACCACAACGACGTGAACCACGCGCGGGCCATGGGCCTTGCCTCCAGGAGCACGCGCAACACACAGCGTGTGGAAGTGGCACGAAATAAAGTGGCGCAAGTTGGCATGACATTGAGTTGCCACACGTTGCATGCGAGACGGGAGAGGGAGGAGGAGGAGGAGGAGGAGGAGGAGGAGGACAACTGAACAGCGGCACAGAAGAGTCACCTGGGCTGCGTGGATCACAGCGCCAAGCTCGCGAGTGCGCAGCCCGAAGGGGGCTTCGACAGGGGTACTCCCACGGAGGTCTCACACGAGCCGTGGAGGAGACAGGAGAAGACGACGATCAGGAAGAGAACAGGGTCGAAATCATCCAGGGATCTGCATCGTGAAATGTCTGGCCCGCCACGGATGACTACGGGCGGCGCTCCTGGCGCGACCTTCACAGGTCAGCTGCACACTCAGCTGCGCGGTGCAAGAGAAGCGGCAGCAGCAGCAGCAGCAGAAGAGGGGATGGTGGCAGAACGAGAGAGAGAGAGAAAGAGAAAAAAATTAGAAAAAGAGGAGGAACAAGACCTTAACTCCAGATCCGCCGTACTTGATTTCACTTTCCGACTAAAAGTATCGTCAGAAATACACCTCAAACGTTGCGAACAAATGAAGCAGAAATTTCCGCCCGAAAATAATAGGCCAACTAATTCCGCACAAAATATAACGGAAACAGCGACGGCAAAAGAAGGGCGGATATCGACGTCAAAGGAACTTGATAAGCAAGAATATCTGCCCTACTCACGATATGATTCTGCGGATCCGGAGTCAGGAAAGAGTTAGGGGACGACGTCGGGCTGTTCTCGGGTCATAACTCGGATCTCTGGCGGCCGTTCGGGACAATCCAAGCACCCCGGGAACGCCCTCGGCGAGGCGCAGCCGCTGTAAGGCACCCCGAGGCTGGAAAGCCGAGATCCGACGAAAACGCCAGCAAACCTTGAGCCTCGAAACTGCCCCTTGAGCCACCGCGCGAAGCGAGCGCTTTTTCAGTCGGCGTTTCGACGTTGGGCGAAAGGGGGGGTGGGGGATTGGTCAAGCCCCGGACCTCTGCTTGCTGCGACTGTTTGCAACAGGGCGTCCTCTGGGCGAGACTCCAGCCGCTTGAGGGCGTTGAAGCCGAATCCGTCCAGCGCCCCCAGAGTGTCCTCGACGAAGCGGGGCCCATGGCCCATGTGAAGCGCCCTGGGGAAGGTCGCGTGGCCTGGAGCTGGAGGTATTTTCGTGGTTGCTCGGGCGACCCTGGGGTGTCTTCGCCAGTCTAGGGGCGCGGTTTGGGGCTCCTGTGGCCACACTTCAAAATTCTCGCTTGCAAGACTCCTGAGGCGTGTGGGATCTATTGGGGTCTCGTTTGTGGTTCATGGGTACTTCCTAAGGCTTTTCTTGGAGGGCTGCTGGGGCCCCCTCAGTAAGCGACCCCACAAGAATGGAGGCCGTCCACGCTGGAGTGCCAGCGGGCACAGAATTGGTCTCCGTGGCAGCAGGCGCGCGAGTGTTCCGCATCGCGCGAATGGACGAAGAGGGCGCAACGAGGAGGGGAAGCCAGGAGGTAATGTGTGACGGCGCGGTGGCGTGTTCCACTCGGCGCGCAACACAACACTAGTCAAGAAGCTTTCTCCCGAACTTTGCACGTCCTCCTTGGGGTCGTTCTGGGGCAATGTGGGCCTTCGCGGGGTCGTGACTAAAACTCTCTTGCAACCTCTCGGGGTCACCGCAGACATTCTCGGGCTCTCATGGAGCCGTCCTGCAGCCTTCTTGAATCGCCTCGGGGCCCTCTTGGTACGCTCTTCCGTCTTGGGTTCCTCCAGAGGCTCTCTTCGACCTTCCTTGGACCAGAGACATGCTGCATCAGCCGGAGAACAAGGAAGGCTTCAGTGGTCGAGACCTCCTTGTCGGCCTGGGAGCGGCCTCTTTCTCGGCTGGAGGTGAAGTGAAAACCGGTTTCTCGATTGTACGTATCGTTGTCGACTGCGTGATGATGACTTCTTGCTTGGCATGAATATGGACCTGCCACCTCGCTCTGGCGGATACATGTTTGCGCGCGGGCATACATTCTAGACATCGGCGCTGTTCGCAAAAAAGCGAGCCGGAAGCGCGCCAGGGCTTGGGGCCTCTCCAGGGCCCCGGAAGGGCCCCAAACCTAGCCGAAAAGGCTTTCGGAAGCCCAAGAAAGCTTTCGGAAGGCCCCAAACAAAGGCCTGTCGGGAGGGCCCAGCAGGCCTGTCGGGAGGCCCAAGCGGCTTGTCGGAAGGGCCCGAGAAGCCTGTCGGGAGGCCCAACAGGCCTGTCAGGAGGCCCAACAAGAGAGGCCAGCCGGGAGGCCCCGGAAGCATGCTGGGAGGGCCAAGAAGCGCGTCTGGAGGGCCAAAGATGCCTCTCGGCAGGCCGAGGAAGCGGACCACAGCCATTCTCAGCTTCAAAAATAAGAATCTTGATATTGGTTTCCGGAGATTGAATCCCTCTGCTGGGGATTGAACCCTTCTGCCGGGGATTGCATTTTTCTCCTCCCCTCCCCCCCCTGGCGAAGCGTGCCGACGCTGTGCGCTTGGGGTGGGCGCCCCCCCATGGGCTAAAACACCCCATCCTTTCCTTCCTGCGAACCTCCCTCTGATGGATCTGAGAGAAGAGGGTGGGGGATTAATGCGGGAGTGTGCGGACGTGGAGAGAGACACGAAATGAATGGAGGAGGAGGGGGAGGAAAGGGGAGGAGGAGGAGGAAGACAGGGAGAAGGAGGAGGAGTGGGAGGAAGAGGAGGAAGAGGAGGAGGAGGAGGAGGAGGAGGAGGGAGGAGGTTGAGGAGGAAGAGGAGGGGAAGGAGGAGGAGGAGGAGGAGGAGGAGGGAGGAGGAGGAGGAGGAGGAGGAGGAGGAGGAGGAGGAGGAGGAGGAGGAGTGCGGGCACTTTGGGGGACGCGGGTCAATTCCGATGCGCGCCACCGAGCAGAGGTACAGGCGACGAGCGAGAACAGGGGGGCAAAAAACGGCGGTTCCTATCGAGACGCGTTTTCTCCTTTGAGCTGTTCCTCTGCCCTCCAAGTCCATCCCCTTCCCAACCCGCAATCGAATTAGCGCGTGACCAGGGCACGGGCGGCAGACAGCGTTGCAACGATAGCGCTCGGCGTGCGGGACGATGCCGTCCGCAGTTGGTCGTACATGTGAAAAGGCCAGCGTGTCACGGCGAATGGTTTCGCGCAAAGACAACTACTCGCTCGGCACAAACGGATATGCAGCAGCGAGGTCCAAACTCCTGTACGTTAGAGTATTGAGGAGTGGAGGGAAGTCAGGGAACCAGAGGGAGGCCCAAGAGGCGAGGACAGGTGAGATAGTGGGGGGATGAGTCTGGCTGGCCAGGGCAGCCGAACAGACAACGGCGCGGTTCAAGCACGTGCACGTGCATGCGAGCGGAGGTCGTCCATCCTGTGGCCAGTGTTTGAAGGTCGCCCAGCGCCAACTCGGTCGGACGGCGCGGAGCTCAGCGGAGAGCGACGCCCAGCGCTCTGCGAGGCGATCGGGATCGATATTGGCCCCCCACGAAATAATTCGTTTCGCGGGGGTGGCAAGAAACGGCGAGGCAAATGCAGACTGGCGAAGCGAAGCTGCAAACGCACACTGGAAGTGAGGACGGCGCGGGGGTTCCGCGGAGCAGGCAGCCTCCTTCTCCTGCAGCGCGGACATCGCGGAGCTGGGCATAGAACTGTACGATCGCCTGAGGCTGCACCCAAAAGCTCGGAGACCACGAGGCTTCCGTCCAGCGATGGAAGGTGTGAACCGTGCTTTCGTCCCAGGCGGTTTCGCGGAGCTGGTCGAAATTCGGCTCCCACATGACTGACAAAGCGCGAGACGCGGAACGGGCAGCGGCGACAACCGACACCACCTGCAGCGAGCGCGGGACTGGCGGCGGCACCCAGCCCGCCATCGCAAGGAGGTCGACCTTGCGAAAAAGTATTGGGCGCCAGACCGAGCATCTTGTGGAAAACGTAGTGCTCGCGGTGAGCGGTGGAAGCAGGCACAGGAAAGAACTGGGCCACATAGTTTAAAACAGAAAACACAGAGGTGTTGAATCAACGGACTGTGGCGTCGCTGCCAGACTGCACGAGCGGGAGCAAATTCGAGCGCGGCCACCATTTCTGCCCAGGAGCGTGCCATTGATCGGCCAAGGAGGCCGCACATCAGAAACAAAATCCCGAAGTATTTGGCACGCCCCGCAATCAAACACCCGCGCCACAACGGCGGCAACTCGGAAAGCAGGGCCTAGGTTTGGGCTGTGATGGAAGGAAGCAAAGGCGCCCAGAGAGGGACTACAACACACTTGCGCGGCTTCAATGACAGCAAAGCGAGGCGAGCTGCGGCGTCAAAAGGCTCAGTCACTCTGCTCACGAGGCCGAAGGAGCCGCACAGGATGCCCATGTCGTCCGCACAAGCGCCCAGGTAGTTGGAGTGGAGGCTCGAGGTGGAGGCAGAACTGCCCACGCGCTTCAACTAGGCGGACCATACCGCCTCCTCCATCGACAGCGGCTTCATCAACCTCCCCTCGCACGCGACGCAGGAGCTGTCCATGTCCGTCCACGTCTTGCATGACGCCGCCATCATGTCGGACAAGCGCCTCAGCGACCACGCCATCATCTCTTTCTCGATTGGCATCAAGCCGAGAACGACTCCTGCGGAACAAGCTATACCGCCAGCTGTGTTCTGCGACCCGAACTACGCCACCTACCTCCAGAAGCTCATCGACGCCGCCTCCACGCAGCACAACTCCATCGAGAACCGCTGGCGCTCGCACAAGCGCTTCATGACCGAGGCCGCCCGCATGGTACAGGACGACTGGGTCCGCATCACCTCTGGCGACATCGCGAATCCTGGCTTCCTTGACGGCAGGGTCATCACCATGCGCTCGATCTCGCGTGCGATCTGGCGACAAGATGTCCAACTTGCGCGGCGACTTCACGCCACCACGGACCTGGGCAAGCGCTTCCACGACATCAGTTCCACGATCATCAAGCTCACGGACGACACCCAGTTCGCGAGCCTCGCGTCCGCCCTGCACCGCGACTTCGAGGCACGCCAGCGCTCTCTGGCGCAGCAAGCAGCTAGGCTCCCGCGGAGCCATCCCCATGCCCGCCCTCCTGAGAAACTTCAGCGGGTCCCTCGGGTCTCCAGCGGGCCCTCCTCTGGGCCACGTGGAAGCGTCGAGTTGTCCTCCAAGGGATCAAAATCACAGGCCTCGAAGGCCCCGCTGCCACCACCGGAGAGAGCGGCGCAGTGGTCGACGCCCTGCGCACCCGCTGGCGCCCCGTCTTCGCCCACAAGACGGTCGACACCAACGCCGTGCACGCGCGCATCGACGAGCACGTGCCGCAGGGCAGCACGCTGGACGTCACGCCGCCCTCCAAGCGCCAGCTGCTGGCCTTCCCGAAGAGTGCGTCGCCATCTGCTTCTGGGCCCGACGGCTTGCCGTGCAGCGCCTGGACAGCCCACGGCCACTCCCTGGACATCCATGGGGACCTGGCCAGCTACCTCTGCTCGGGCAACTCGATCCTGCGTGACTTGAACGGCTTGGACTTCGCCTTCCTGCCGAAAGGGCGACGACCTCTTGTAGGGGGCCACATGTGAACCCTACCCCTACCCCCCACGATTTCTGAGGGGGAGGGTGGGGTTCACTTTGTTCGGGAGCTCCAGAGCGAAGTGAACCCCACCTTACCCCTCAGAAATCGTGGGGGGTAAGGGTAGGGTTCGCATGTTGCCCCCAGCTCTTAAGCGAGAACACCACAGACCGAGTTCCTGAAGACACACGTCCGCTCTCGGTGAAGAACGCCGACATCAAAGCCATCGCAAGAGCTGCCAACAACATGATCAAGCAGTACGTCACCGAGCGCACGCACACGGCCCAGCAGGGCTTCGTCATGGGCAAGAACTTCACCCAACACATCGTGCGCCTTGACGCCGAGATGCGCCGGGTCGGCCTCTGCGAGAATGCTGCGGAGATCCAACCCATCTTCATCAGCTTCGACTTCGCGGCGGCCTTCCCGTCGCTTGGCAGAACGTGGCTCTCCAAGGCGCTGCACCGTTTCGGCCTGCCAGACGGCTACATGAATCTCTTCGAGGCCACGTACTACGCACCCACCTCGGTTAAGGTTGACGGCGTGCGCCACACCATTTTCGCGATTGAATCTGGAGTCGCCCAGGGCTGCCCAGCGAGCGGATCTGCATGGGCGATCGCGATGGACCCGATCATCCGCCACCTCGCGCATGCCATGGAGACGGCGAATCTCGGCAACGACCCGCACTCCAACGAGGAGGAGGAGGAGGAGGAGGAGGAGGAGGAGGAGGAGGAGGAGGACGAGGGAGGAGGAGGAGGAGGAGGAGGAGGAGGAGGAGGACGAGGAGGAGGAGGGAGGAGGAGGAGGAGGAGGAGGAGGGAATGGAGGAGGACGAGGCGGGAAACGGGGAGGATCGGGGCATCGAACGACAACTCAGACAGGTCGAGGGGGTTGAGCCCGATCCAAAAGCGCAGCACACAAGACGGCAACCGCTTTGAAGCGAGCCTTCTCCAGATATGCAGTCTGCAGCTCTGCAGGAAAACCGATGCGAAATATCAGCGTACGAGCATCCGTGTGTGCCAGGAGCGCCAGCATGCAGGCGCAGGGGAGCGGGCGAGAGAGCGCGATGAAGGACTCCCCGTCGAGAAGCGCCCGAGCTCGCCTCGGCGAGACCACACCGTGCAGGCAACTGCACTGGTCGCGTCCCTGTGCTGCGCCTCTTGACCTCCTCCGCCCCCGCAGCCCCCCCCCCCCGCGCCCTCGCCCTCCCGCTGCACTTCCACGCTGCGACCGCCGCTCCCGGGGCCCTGCGCAGCGAGGGGGCCGACGCTTCCCACACTGGCGCGCGAGGCCCGCGCGGGGCGAGCCGAGACGGCGCCGGCCCCGCACTGCGGTGCCCGCATGAGCCCTCCCGAGGCCCGGACGCACCAGCCTGCCGAGCTGCGTCCAGCCGGGGGGCGACGGGGGGCCCTCCGGAGGCCAAGCGCCGCCGTCTCGCCTCGCCCCGCCCCGAGGTGCGCGGCAGTCGCGTCGGCCTCCCGCGGCACGCGGCAGCCCGCGCCCCCCACGCTCCCAGACGTGGTCCTCCCAGACAGCCCTGCCAGGCATGGTCCTCCCCGGGGGTACCCCGGCGGAGGCGGGCGGCGCGCTCCTCGCAGAGCGGAGGGGCGCGCGCCCGAGCGCTGGCCACTGAAGTGGAAGCGCGGCGCGTCGCAGTTGATCTGCCACGGGTCTGAGCCGCGCGATTGGGCGCGTGACGCCATCTGGAGTCACGCGCACAATCGCGCGTGAACTGATCCCCATCAAGTCGTGAGACCTGCGAAATATCCTGGTGACCGCGGCCGGTGCTGCGGCCCTCAGAGATGGCGATGACACCGATTCCGAGATATCGCTCTCCCCACAACGAGGCAAAGTCGACTGGTCGTAACCACCATTGTTTATGGCCCCAAAGTAAACCCTCTTGAGACCGCCAATCTCCTTCGATAAGGCTTTGAAAGGGAACGCGCGAATCTAGTGGCCGCTCTCCATGTTACGCGTGGTTTAAATAGAAGGCTTCGTCATCTGGTGAGCTCGGGCAGGAGCGTGATGCTTCTCACCTCGCAGTCTGCGTCGCTGCCGCCGAAGAAGAAGAAGAAGAAGCTGGTGGTGTTCCCAAGCACCTGCGTGAGAAACTTCACGTCCTTGCAGGCGGTGCTGAAGGTCTGCACGTCGTCCTCAATCTCCAGACTGTTCTCGACCCGCTTTAGAGGAATAACAAATGACATCAACATCAGCCTCTGGAGGTCTGCGCGGATTTTTGGGATCCGCACTGTGGCCCACGACCATGGCGCGCGGAACACGCCAGGGGACTCCAGCGCCGATCCGAGAAATCCGCGCGGACCTCCGAACATGTAATTATGTTGATGTAGTATGTTGTTCCCCAGCGCTCGAGGACGCCGAGCACGTGCATGGCCGAACCCTGGAAGATCGATGGGGAGCCGCCCGTGCCGGAAGAGGGGAAGAAAGCGGGGACCGTGACCAAGACTGAACGTGGAAATGTCGGGTCGATCTCTGTCACCGTCCATCTTGGTCAACGTCGATTTGTGGATCATCCCCACCAATTGGCGACGGCTGGCATGGACCAGGACCAGAAGAATGACATGAATCCTAAAACTCGGAGGCCCTCGCGGATTCCTCGGATCGGCGCTGGGGCCCCCTCCGGCGCCGCCCATGGCGCGTTCTGCGCGCCTTGGAGGGTCTAGCGCCGATCCGAGAAATCCGCGCGGACCTCAGAGTTTTTGCGCTTCTGTCATTGTTTGTCCCCGGCCAAGATCGGCCTCGACTTGATCGATGATCCTCAGAAGGTGTGTCAGCGCCAACGTGTGCTTGTTCACCGAGGCCCTTCAACACGACGTAGGCGGCGCAACGAGGGCCGACACAAGCTGCGCGTTATCGGTGTAACCGAACGGGGCAAACACACGCTCGGATCATCGACTTGATCACTCGCCATCATGTCCCCTGTACTTTCTCCCTGACGGGAAGGACGCCGCGAGACAAGGTCTCGCCATCGAGGCACGGTGTGCGTAGCGTCGACGCCACGCCAGACACGCTGGAGCCAGCGGCTGTGGAGAGCGGGGCAGAGAGGTGGGTCAGAGGGCGTACGAGGTGGCCTCTCAGCACGGGGCCCCTGGCATCGAATCGAATCGAGCTCTTGGGGCATTCTGTTCGTCTGATCCTGTGAGCCCCCCCGTGGGGCAACTCGGAGCCCTGGCCTGCCTCGCGCGGGACGCACGTGGGCGCCCCACCCTCAGTCGGGTGCTGGGAGTTCCCCCGGCGGGGGCTGCGCGGCCCGCTCGCCTGAGCCGACGTCCATGAGAGGAGGGCGAGCTGCGACAGCAATTCCTCATCCTGTTAATGTTCCTCCTCCTCCTCATTCTCCTCCTCCACCTCCTCCTCATTCTCCTCCTGCTCCTCTTCTTCTTCCCATTCGAATAATCATTCGTCTTCTTCGTACTCATGTGATTATTGATCCTCCTCGTGTTCCTCCTCATCCTATTCCTCCTCCTCCTCCTCATCATCAGCATCATCATCATCACCGCCACCAACACCACCACCATCATCATCGTCATCATCATCATCAACATCATCCTCTTTATCATCGTCATCATCATCATCATCCTCATCCCCATCATCATCAGCAACATCATTTTCATCGTCATCACCATTACCGTCATCAGCATCATCAGCATCATCATCATCATCATCCGCCTCTTCCTGCTGCTCCTCCTCCTCCTCCTCCTCGTCTTCCTCCTCCTCCTCCTCCTCCTCCACCTCCTCCTCACCATTATCCTCCTACTGTTCCTCCCATCCCTCCTTTTTCTCCTCCTCCTCCTCCTCCTCCTCCTTCTCCACCTCCTCCGCCTCATCATTAACCTTCTACTGTTCCTCCCTTCCCTCCTTTTGTTTTGCTACGGAACCTCTAGGGTTCTCTGTCCTTGAAGTGGCGAAGGGCCAAGGCGGTCGCCCCGCAGGGCGAGCAGTTCACTCTCCAAGGTGGCCTTGGCTCGGGTCCCCTGCGGGCGGAAGCACCCATCTGCCCCGCGGCGTGCCAGGCACGCGGTCGGGCAGCGCTTCCTGTCGAGAGGGCCGAGCTCGGGCCAACCTTCTGGAGCTGAATGCGCTGGATCCCCACAGCGCGGCAAGACGAGGGTGGCGCCTTGCCGTCACACGGAGCCGAGCTTCAAGAATCTCTGGCGGACTGGCCTGGCGAGCAAGGCGACGGGCATTTAAAGTGACAAAGAAGGCGTCGATGCAAGCAACGCGTTTTAAAAGGGCTGACGGAGACTCAAAGAACGGCAACGTACACGAGGGAAACCAGGGGAAACTCACAGGGTCCGAATGCGCACAACTCTCTTCACGTAACCATTTCTGACTCAAGGTCTCGAGTTTAGGGCACTGGCGATAATGATAAATCGAATCCAAATCCGACATGTCAGAAGTACTGCAACCAACCACACATCCCATCGGGGCGGGGTGGAAACGAGCAAATGTGCAAATAGAGCCAGTCAACAGTCGCAGCGGCGCGATCCCCAGGCACATGGAAGTGGACTCGCATACCGCTCGGGTCGCCTTACACAAGCAAGAAACGTGTGAGGCCGTGACCGCAGGGTATAGCTTCCGAACTCGCCTCAACATCGTCAGTGAAACTGGTTCGCCATCTCGAACGGCGCGGAACTCGAGGTAAAGTTGCTGCTGAAGCCGAGGGGAGGAGGCGTCAAGTTGGATGGGGAGCCCAAGAAACCAAGAACGCACACGGCGAGCAAAGCCCAGAAAGGGTGTGAGATTCCAACCAGCATGCCATCGATACGGGATGTGTTCCAAATCCGTTCGAGCATCCTCCAGCGACTCCAAGACCCCAAAGAGGAACCGAGATTTCAGAAGATACCGAATATGCGCAGCCCAAGAGACAGCCGCAAGGTCGATAAACTCCGTGCGGAAGCCGAGGTCCAAAAGATGGGTGGCAATGTTAAACGATATGGCATTGCGGGGGCCAGAGGTTAGACGCATGACAGCTTCCCGATATTGATGAAGTAACTCAGAGCTGGGAGGATAAAGCTGGAGACGAAATCACAGTTTGGAAAGGCACATCACGCGAAACGCCATTGCACTCCGAGCCACACCTAGTCCTAGCTGACGAGTTTGGCAAACGCGCTCCAGAAATCCAGGTAACACCGACTGCCAAACATTCGCAGCCGCCCCAGGGCCGATCGGAAAACCAAGGTAAACCGCCCAAGACCCAATCTTGATCCCTCCGAAGGGGTTGCCATAACTCGCGAGCACAGACGCAAGGCGAGCACAATCAAGCGAGCCGCAAATAATCAGCAGGCACTTCGAGAAATTGAGGCGCAGATTCGCAATCTGCTCAAGGTGCATGAGAAGCGTGACCAGCGGGCCAAGCTCGGTCAGCACATTCTTCAGACCGAACAAGAAATCGTCAGCGTAGGCGAGGTTGAGAGAGATGGTAGGAGTAGAATAGTGACGAATCCATCGCAACAACGGGCCAACGGCGAGGACGAAGAGGTACATGGAGGCGGGGCACCCTTGTTTAACCCCACTTTCGATCGGGATAGTCTGACGCTGACCAGCTACAGTGACAATAGCGATGTTCTCAGCATACATAGCTTCAAAGAAACGTCGAATCGGCCACGGAATGTGCAACTTCGAAAGGACAAAGAAAAGCCAGGATTGTGCGAGGCTAGGGAAGGCCGAGGCAAAGTCCGTCAAGAAGAGGGCTGCTTTCTGGTCATCTCTAAGGTGCCGTTCTAATCCCCACGCCTCCGCCCTAACCACGTTCTCAATCATGTCCCTCCCACCAACGCACCTGCTCCTCCCCAATCATATCCTTCGTATGTGAGACAACAGGATGAAGACAAGCGGCCGCTAGCAGCTTAACATCTGCATTGCTCACGCTCAGCGGGCGCGTGCAGGCAGGCGAACGGTGCAGCGGGCAGCCGGCGCGATCGGCGTCCTCAACGCCCTTCGGAAGAAACACCAGCAGGCTGCAACGCATATCCTCGGGTAGACAGTCGAAGTCATCCTGAAATAGAGTGAGGTAGCACGAGTAGAGTAGCCTCGAAGCCGCGGGCTGTTTCCAGACTGCATATGGGATCCGGTCAGGACCAGGCGTGCTGCGGGGTCTCCTGCGGAGCATCTCGTACCAAGACATATAGTCGAGCTTCCATTCC